TTCTGTTGGGGCAGAAGTATAAATTAATATAAAACATCCAAACAATTACCTTAAAATTCCATCTCCAAAATTGTACCCTTCTGTGGCCATGTAAGGATCCCACAGATCAGAGCGATGAGGGCAATAACAACTCCCCCTATCAGTTTATTATATTATTGTAGTATTATTATTATTGTGGCCCAGAGGTTTTGCTCTATCTGTGTTCAACACAGCATTGCCAAATTGTCCCTTTCTTTTACAGAATTACTAGTGAGGACTAGCTGTCTCCTGTTTTTTGTTAGGGTCTCTACAACATGTTGAAGCGCTCAATCAGCCAGCTTGGTTGTTTTCCTGTGATCCTCCTATTACTGGTGTTGCCTTCACTTTTCATGGCTTGTTTGTAATTTGTTTTGACTGTGTTTTATTCAGCTTGTTTAATTTTCTCTACAGACATTCTGCCTGACTTATGACACTGACATAAAGATCCGGGATACTGTCAGTAGTGACTACATGTGACTGCTGTACAGTGTCAATGCTGGAATGCATTGACATTGTACAGAAGCTCTGCACAGCAAAATACATTCAGCAATAGCCAGTAGTAGATTATCTGTCATGTATTTTTAAACATGTTATCAGCACAGGCTCATTAGTCATTTGCTAATAAATTATATAAATTAAGTATTCAACATAGTATTCTTTAATATAATAATGTTTTTTTGTTGAAGCCAGTGCAACATCAGCCAACTTAGAAACGGCTCTAGTTATAGTGAGCCTGATCCCCTTAAATGTTCTATTAACCTAAAAACGGCAAAATGCTATTGCATAGTTAAAAATAAGACACACTTCTATTTTGCGTCTATCAGTACATTTGAGATTACTTGATCCAAACAAACTAAGATCCGCCTATTTCTAATTGTAAAATATGTAAATTAAGTATTTCTGATTCTGAAATGACTGTAGTGTAATTGACTCAATAGCCTGATTTTAGTCATATTCAGTTGAGAATATAGAATTAAAAGCATCCATTGGCACACAGTTTAATACAAATGTGGTGGAGAATGCTTCCCCAAGTGCAGGCTAACATGTGGTGGTATTGAATACAGCCTTGACTTAACTACTCCCCTGGCCAACCACCTTATCAGGCTTAGGCTATATAAGACACCTGTGTTCCCCTTCGAGGGAACTCGAACTGCGTCGGTTACGACACTATGGGAACGCCTCTAGGCGTAGTAGGTCTGAACGTGAATGAAATCACTCCAATCCTATTGGTTTGTTGCTAGAACGGTAAGGTGTGACAGAATAACCGGAGGAGTATAAAGCACACCTGTACACACTCATCATTAGCTTTTTTCTATTCAGCAGGCGCTCTGTATGTTGTTTGAAGAAAGCTCCAGTCCTACAAGCAGTGTGTCTTACCTGAAGAAGAAGTCTACCAGCATGTCCGGCAACCAGATGTACAGAAGGTGTGTTTTTCCTTGCCCTCGGTACATCACGGATGGAGATTCTCATGAGATGTGTGTGTCATGTTTGGGGATGGAGCACGCTCGGGCAGCTCTCGAGGGGGCTGCATGCGCCAGTTGCAAAGTCCTTTCGATGCGGGTACTGAGGTACAGCATGGCTCTCTTTTTCGGAGGATGGCCGGATGTGTTCTCCCCGTGGCGCGGGCCCTGCAGCCGCTGAGGCAGCCCGGCGGCTTCACTCATGGGGTTCACAGCATGATCTGTCGGAGGATTTCGGGACGGCTGAGGCTTTTTCCCGACCTTCATCCGCTGGCTCCGACGCTTCCTTTCCTCGTTCGGGAGCCCGTTTCTCGGCTTCTCGGCTTCGCGGTTTGGATCCGGAGACGCTGCAGCAATCCGACTCCGAGGAGGCGGATGTGCTCAGCGTAGTGAACGATGACTTCCGGGTGTCGGGGCGGCGTCATCAGGCGGCGCCCAACTATGACGAGCTGCTGGAGGTGGTGACTAGAGCCGTGGCTAAGCTCAACATCAACTGGCCACAGGAAGAGCAGACACCACAGGCTAGTGGTAAGCTTGATGAAAGGTTTCTTAAGCACCACGCGCCACCTCCACGCCGGTCTGTGCCATTCTTTCCTGATTTACATGATGAACTGAGTAAATCATGGGGCAGACCCTTCTCTACACGGCTTTCCACACCCGATCACTGAACTACAGTAATGTGATGGGGGTTAGGGACCGTGGTTATGGGAGGATGCCTCGGGTGGAGGATGCGCTTGCGAGCTATCTCTCCCCTCGACTTGCGTCCTCCCTGGAGAAGCCGGCGTTACCCTCCAAGCCATGTCACACCACATCTACGCTCGTGGGGAAGGCGTACATGGCAGCGGGCCAGGCAGGTGCGAGCTTGCACACCATGGCGGTGCTTCAAGCCTACCAAGCTGACCTGCTACAGGAGATGGTTCAGAGGGGGGGTCCCTCTGAGGAAGATCTGGTGGAGCTTCGCAGAACCCCGGAGCGTTAAGACGCAGGGCGAAGCGTTCCGCCAGTACCTCCCTCGCCGGTCTGGACCCAAGGCAGCCGAGGCTGCCAGGCGTAGGTCCCTTCCCTCTACGAGCTCCTACCGAGAGGAGAGGAAGCAGAGTGTCGCTTCTTGGGGGGCCCCCCGAGGAGCTGGGGCAGCGAGACGGCGCTCTCAACCTCAGCCTTCTGAGAGACACGATCTGAGGACCGTCATCCAGTCCCAACGGAGCTCAAGGAAGAGGTCCTGAAGACCGGGGTAGGGTAGTCTTTCTCCCCTCCCGCACCCCCCTCCACTGTGGTCCGCCCGGAACAAGGTCCTGTGTTGGGACAGGAAGTTCTTACTCTGCTGAGGAAAGGGGCCGTGGAACGTGTCTCCCCCCCAGACAGAGACGCCGGTTCTACAGCCGGTACTTCATTGTCCCCAAGAAGGACGGAGCGCTGCGCCCTATTTTGGATCTGCGGGTTCTAAACCGGTCTCTGGGGAGATTCAGGTTCAAGATGCTCATCATCCCCGCCATCGTTACGCACATCCAATCCGAGGATTGGTTCGTCACGATAGATCTAAAGGACGCCTATTTCCAGGTCTCCATCCGTCCTTCTCACAGGAAGTACCTGAGGTTCGCCTTCGGGGTGTGGCTTACCAGTATCGGGTTCTTCCATTCGGCCTGGCACTTTCCCCTCGCACATTCACCAAGTGTATGGATGCAGCACTTGCCCCGCTGAGGCTCCAGGGCATCCGGATTTTCAACTACATCGACGACTGGCTCATCCTAGCCCAGTCTCGAGAGTTGGCGGTTCGGCATCGAGATGTCGTTCTGGCTCATCTGCTGCGTTTAGGGCTGAGGCTCAACGCAAAGAAGAGTGTGCTGGCGCCCACCCAACGGACTATGTTCCTAGGGGTAGTATGGGATTCGACAACGATGCGGGCACAATTGTCTGTTGGGTCTCCTGGCGGCAGTGTCCAGCGTAATACCATCTGGACTGCTGCACATGAGACCCCTGCAGTGGTGGCTAAGGACCAAGGGTTTTTCCCCGAGAGGAAATCCTTTCCGTCTGATTTGGGTTATGCGCAAGTGTCTTCGTTCCCTATCAGTTTGGAAACTTGGTTCCTGTCCCAGGGGCCCGTGCTGGGAGGGTCTTGTCGCCGGCTGGTCATTTCGACAGACGCCTCCCTCACGGGCTGGGGCGTGGTCATGGGCGGCTGCTTTGCAAGGGCAGTCGAGACCCTCCTCAGCTCCAGGGCCCCGTCCACACGGATCCTCCGTGGTGCCCGGAGGATGAGACCTGCGACTCGGTCCAAGGTTCCTACTTGGGATCTGGCGGTGGTTCTTGGGGCGTTGGCTGAGGCCCCCTTTGAACCCCTAGAGTCAGCTGAGGCTAAGCACTTGACCCTCAAGATGGCCTTTCTCCTTGCTATCACCTCTCTAAGGAGGGTGGGGGATCTCCAAGCGCTTTCGGTTTCCCGCAAAGCCTGGAGTTTGCCCCGGGGAATATTAGGGCTATGCTGCACCCTCGTTCAGGATACATCCCTAAAGTGCCTTCTTGTGCGGCAGGGTCCACAGTGCTGCTGGCATTTCATCCTCCACCTCATGTGATGGCGGAGGACGGGAGACTTCATCTGCTCTGCCCTGTCAGAGTACTGAGTATTTACACTTTGCGGTCCTCCCGTTGGAGGAAGGCTGACCAGTTGCTAGTGTGTTTTGGGTCCCCCAGGGCTGGACTCCCTGCACCCAAACATACTATTAGCAACTGGATTGTTCAGACTATGTCCCTGGCCTATCAGGTGCGCAGTTTGCCTTCACCTGTGGCTGTGAGGGCTCATTCTACCAGAGGCATGGCGGCCTCTCGAGCCCTCCTTTCCGGGGCCTCTTTGCAGGATGTTTGTTTAGCGGCTGGCTGGGCCACTCCGCACACATTCATTCGGTTTTACAGTCTTGACCTTCCTTCGGCACCTGGCACTCGTGCGCTCTCCTCTTAGTCGTGCCACTTTATTGCACACTGGGTCAGGCGGGGTTTTCGGCACGGTTTAGTGGGTATCTCGTTCCCATAGTGTCGTAACCGACGCAGTTCGAGTTCCCTCGAAGGGGAACGTCTCGGGTTACGTATGTAACCCTGGTTCCCCAAGAAGGGGAACCAGACACTCCGTCGGCCCGCCGCACCTCTCTCCCCGCCTGAAGCGCCTGCTTCATAGTTTAAGCTAATGATGAGTGTGTACAGGTGTGCTTTATACTCCTCCGGTTATTCCGTCACACCTTACCGTTCTAGCAACAGGCCAATGGGATTGGACTGATTTCATTCAAGTTCAGACCTGCTACGCCTAGAGGCATTCCCATAGTGTCGTAACCAACGCAGTGTCTCGTTCCCCTTCTCGGGGAACCAGGGTTACATACGTAACCCGAGACGTTCCCTTGCTCTCTCTTTGCTTCCTGATCTGTACCTGTTATGGTTGGTGTTTGTTGCCCAGGTATGTGAAAGGAATACTTTCATGCACATCTTTTTCCTCTCAACTTGATATGTGACTTACCTGCTGTTTGACACTGGTAGGAACCTCCTTTTCTCCTGTCCTGTGACCGCTGATTGTTATATCTTCATGTCCCATCTCAGTGGTGGTGAGTAGATTCATGGTTTTAAATGTATTTTAACACAGTAAGGTTGAGCCTGGCTAATTGTTTCCCTTGCTTTTGCAGGTTCCTCCTTGTTTTAGACCACTGCTGTTTTGCCCATTCTGTTTATAATTTTGCAGCCCTTTTAGTTTCTTGTTTTGCCTATGTAGTTTCTTGTGTTTGTCATTTTGGTTTGTTAGTTTTGCCCATTTAGTTTCTTGTTTTGCCTATGTAGTTTCTTGTGTTTGTCATTTTGGTTTGTTAGTTTTGCTCTAGTTTAATATTTGGTTTAGTTCCACTTTTTTTCCCTATTTAGTTATATTTTGTCTGTAACTTGTGTTAATTTAGATTAGATTTAGTTGTATATTCTTGTGGGTTTTGTAATATAGTTTGCCCTTTGTCAAGTCAGCTGGGTTACTTTTGTTAATTTGTTTCTGATTCTTGTTGTATTTAGTTTATATTTTTAGAGCAGAGTGCTATCTTGTTGGGAGGCTAGGTACCCGTGGCAAGGTCCCTTCACTTCTCTGCATATGAGTAATTGCACGGAGACACAATATAGACTGCACCATTTTGCTGTGAGTGCTGCACTTAAGGTGGGTAGTGGTAGCACTCCTCAGCGTAGTCTGAGTGGCCTTGTTTAAAGTTATTTTGGGGAGCTGGATTTACATATTAGGTTCTTCATTTGAATTTATATTAAGGCCGTTTTAACTAATTATTGTGTTGCACACTTGGACACAATAGAAACCTTCAGGCGTGCATAAGTTTAAAATAACTTCTTTACTTTCTTTCTCTGTAAATAAAGAAACACAAGCACATCAGCAGAACATTGTCTCTACGTACAGCAGGCTGTTTACATCTCCTGACTGATGTTAACATTCATGTTCCCTCATTAACTCGCATGAACATAAAATGTCTACATTCACAAACACACTGATAATGTTCTGCACACACAACCAATATTTAGCAAGTTACAGGTGGCTAAAGTACTGTTTTCCTCATTAGCATACTAGGTGATGTAGGCTACTATTTAACACAACATGCCGTCTCATTTAGTGCCAAAGTGCCTGTGTAAGCCTTACTCATAATACCCATAAATTGACCTACTAAAATGTTACAGTTGATATTGCACAAGAACATAAATCAGATTACTAAATCAAAACAGTTAAAATAATACATTAGAATGGGGCATGCCCACTGTTTAGTGTTCATCAATAGTCTCCATTAAAAAGGCCAACATTACTGTGGGTCCCACAATTATAATACAGAAATTATTTTATCTACCATTTTATCAGTTATTTTCTGTTTTACATTTCCTTTCAGCAGTTTCAGTCCCAATTTGTTTGTTCTTGCTTATTAAAAATACATTTTGGTATATTTTGAAACACCCCCTACCTCATCAGTAATGTTCCTGTGTGCCTTTTTGTCTTTATTCTCCTTCAAATAATCTAGGTTTAAATAATATTTCCTGGGATGGAATTCCCTAGGTGCTGTAGGTTGGCTTTCATTCAATTCCCCCCTTCCTGGTCCACCTTGCCACACAAACAAGGCACAACTTTGGTAGTTATGAATGTTACAAAAACATAGTAGGAAACTTCCGGGGGATAATATTATAGGTTAAGAACAGTTTAGTCACCAATATCTAATCAGTTATCAGTCAAGGAAACTCTTCAGCTACATTCCAAGTTGTATTATCTGCCCATGTCACATCTCCATATTTTACTACTGTGGCTCAGCTAAAATCATTAGTAAATAGTTTACTGTTAGCTAACAGCAAGCTGGATAACAGACAACTGATGACTACAACAGGAAACAGGACAAGACACAGAAACACGGAACAAACTGACAGAAACCAAAGACCAAAATCTAAAGCAGAACGGAGCAATCTCAAAACGCTCGACACAGACAGTACTAAAAAAAACAGGAACAGGCAGCTACAGACCATAAAACATGTTAAACAGATTAACCCCCCCCCCCCCCCCCATTGTTTTGTCAGATTGTTTTGTCAGATTGTTTTGTGTTCCGTCATTGTAACCTCCCTGCCCCACACTCTGTACAAAAGACACAAGACTGGTTAGCATGCAGTGATTCTTACTCAACGATGCCCTCTGCTGGAGAAATCTGTTGCCAAGTCAGTGTTGGAAAATGGTGCACATGCTCATCAAAGGCATATATTGTGACCGCATGGATGAATATAATTCCATTCAGTATTTATTTATAATATCAGTATTTTAAGAAAACAACCATGGTACACTGTATGAATGTGTTTAATAGCCATATTTATCTACAGTGGCTCGTGCTGGCACCTAAATGGGTTACAAGCATGGTCACGAGTATTTATTCTTTTATAAGCCCTAGCAGTAGTGGAATGTAACTAGGTTTACTTTTTTAGGCACTTTACTCAAGTACGAATTTGATGTACTTCATTTTTCTATTTAAGGCCACACTATAGTTGTACTCCACCACATTTCAGGCTGAAATACTGTAGTTTTAACACCACTAAATGTATATGACAGCTACAGTTAACTGTTTTTGCAGATTAATATGTTACATAAGGACATAACATCAGTCTATAAAATGTGATGCATCATTATAGAATAAAGTACCCGATCAATAAATTAGTTCAAATTAGCTTTACCACCAGCAGCTGCAACATACAGATGCATCGGTAATCCAGTAATATGTATTATAGGATGATATTTAATAAACTTTATATATATAAGCCGTTTGTCTGCATAGGGAACACTTTGTGTACATTTTGCAACTGTTATTTTAATGCTTTTACTTAAATAAAATGAATGCAAGTTTGTTGTAACAGTTTTTGTTTGTTTTTCATATTGTTGCACTGTTACTTTTACTAAATTAAAGTATGTGAATTCTCACCTATTAGCCCTGTTTTGGAAAAACAGATAAGTCGTGCAGACATGTGGGTTATAGGTGTCAGTGGTGGCATAATGTGGGTTTAGTATTTGTGTGGGTATGTGTCATGGAGAGGAGAGGAAGAGGGGTTCCTCCAAAACATTCAAATCCAACATACTGCACCAGTTTCGATTTTAAAGTGTCAGGCGCGCCCTCTAGTGGTCCACGGAAGAATCTGCAGCTGGCTAAAAAAAAAAACTGGTTAAAACACTTTCAGCACCATGACCACGGACAGCTCCCAGAGCAAATGACCAACATGGGCAAAGGATGTGAAGTGACTCGAGTTGCACTGTATCACGTTGCTATAACGGAACAGCCTGGGAGATTTTATAACTTTTTATGAACATAATTTCACCAATCACAGCACTACAATTTCACCAACTGCTCATTTGTGTGAGCCTATTTGGTTTGGTCTCCATGTGTAGATTAATTTGATGTGTCTGAATATGTCTTGTTTAATGATCCTAAAATATTGTTTTTATCTTTAAAGTAGCTCTTTTAGCAGAGAGTAAGAATAATCTGACAACTCTATTTCAGCTTCATTTCTCACTCATCTGAAAGTAAGCCAAGCTGACCTAAATACGGCTGCCCCCTCAGCCGTCCCTATGGGTCACCTTACCGCAGAGAAGGTTAGCCTTCTCCCCTCCATGCTCTCTACGGGCACCCGTTTCTTATTAACGGAATTATTTTAAATCTGAGCCATACAACGACCTAATTACCCTGCTCATTTCTAGCCAGTGGCCAGCTCTCATCTGTTGAAGGTAGGAACTAATTCCCTGAGAAGTAAGATGTAAAAGGGCAAAGAGAGAGGAGTCACAGGCCCTGTAGCTCACATTCAGGTGTGGCATTTGGAGCTGAGCCTCCCTTCCCCCAGGCGCCTGTATTCGTGTTCGTGGTCTTAATTAAAGTGATATTTCGAGAGAGGAGGTTCTGTTTGTTCAGTTAATGAACCTCACTATTCTCTGCGGGCAAATGGAAATGCAAGCACTCCAATTAGCATATGTTAGCATTTTACTATGTTTATTCCTCACCGTGGAAAACAGCTTACCAAGGCGAAAAGCTTTTCACCCTTGTAAGAGTAGCTGTGGAACTTTTTCACCCCAAAATAATTGACTCAAGCTAATTAAACATAAATCTAGGAAACGTACATCTAAATGCTTTATGCATGTCGACCCAATCTGTCGGTGTTTGACTGCATGCGCGTGTCCGTGCGCATGGGCTGGGTTAGGCCTTGAGCTTCATTAATTAATTACAGCAGGCCAGCCACACGCGCATGTTTAAGAGACATAAGAAAGACCATGTGAAAAAAATACTTTATTTTCATAAATGTATACAGTACATGTGTGGGAGAAAATCCCCCGTCTTTACAGCTGTCTGCATCATGTTGCAGCTTGCATATACATTATCATACTATTGGTCATATTCACACAAGCTCTGTTGGCAAACAAACATACAAAAAAGAAAACACTTTTTTCTTTTCATAAAACCAAAAATATAAATCCATAAGGATGTGCAAAAGTATTGTGCACTAATGCTCTTTCAAAACATTTTGGATGTAATTGCTGCTCCAGTTTGATTGTCTAAATAATAATAATGATAATAATAGGCAGAAGCACACATTGGCCATGTTGCAGTGGCATGTCACATAAATAGCCATCGGACTTCAGTTTCCTTCAGCATTTTAGCCAAAATGTATTGTTCTTTCATTATTTCTCTTACTCGGTGACTTGTAAGCCATATGTTCATTAATTTATGTACTGAAAGGTCTCTTCCTCTGCTTTTATATGAGATTATCCATCATTTTAATCCATTAAGACAAGTTATTGATAAGTCAGTCATTGTACAGGTCATTATTTATAATGGCAGCCTCTCCCTGGGGGGACATCTGAAGACGTCGCTTCTTGCCAAAGGTGGAGAAGGAATTGTGGACGTCCAGCTCACTTCGCTGTACTGTGGGCCTCAGGGTGCAAAAGCCTGATGGTGTCCCTGGGATGTACACATTGTGGTGGTAGTCAGGTGGGGGGTGTGGGTGAGGGTGGGAGGGGATTGATGGCTGCTGCTGCTGGGGAGGAGGTGTGCACCGAGGAGTCCAGGGGCGAGAGGGAACCCCACTGGTTGAAGGAGACATCTTGTAATCTGTAGTGTGATGTTGATAAGGAGAAAGGAGAGGAGAAGCATCTACTTCAGTATACAATACTGACTTATCATGTTATTTATATTTGCATAGCACTTTTCTAAAACAAAGTTTAGTGATTTGCAACCTGGGAAATAAAGAATGACATACAACCAAAGAAGGGGTCATCAACATAAACACTGATGAGTGTGAATATACCTCTGCTTATGTTAGTGATAGTGGAGTTGAGGTAATAGACTACCGACTTTATCAACAGAACAAAAAAGGGAACAGCAAAGGAAGAATGTCATTGAATAAAAGCATGGAGGTATGCTGCATTGTTTACAGTACTCCTGTGGGTGTACATTACATACTGTAAAACATGTAACCCTAAATGTGTGTAGTTTGGCCTCTCTTACCTTTCACGCCTCTCATCTGAGTACCCCAGGTCCAGTATTGTCCAGGGGCCATGGAGGTGACATAGTTTTCTGGGTCTGCGTGCATAGCCTTACGCATGAGGGTGCCATCCATGTTGATAGAGTTATAACTGCAAACAAGATACTAGTCTGTAATGACAACATACTTTACTTGTATGTAAATTCAAAATGTCGATCCATTTGGCATGAGAGATTTTTATACAGGTTGTGTACTTAGGCTGATTATGTGAGCATCCTACTTGGACACACGGTGACATTGAGAAAAATGTATGGTTGATATATATTGGGCTTACAACATGCAAAGGTAAAAAATGATACCTTTTAATGGAGGAGTTCTGATTCTTTGTAAGAG